AGCAGGCTGGATTTGACCTGTGGGCTAAAGCTTGCTGATCATTAATCTGGACTTTAAGTAACTATGTTAAAAGTTAAAGGGTGAGGGGCGCCTGGGTGGCTCAGTTGGTTAAGCGTCCGACTCCAGCTCAGGTCATGATCTGATGGTTCATGGGTTCGAGCCCCATGTTGGGCTCTGTGCTGACAGCTAGCTCAGAGCCTGGAGCCTGTTTCAGATTCTGTATCTCCTTCTCTCTCTGACCCTCCCCTGCTCACACTGTCTCTCTCTCAGAAATAAATAAAACATTTAAAAAAATTTTTTTAATTAAAACAAAAGTTAAAGGGTGAGTATTCACTTTGTTTCTCTAATGCAAAAGAAGGCAAGAAAGGAAGGAGAAAAAGGAATAGATACAACTGGATAAAGTTCAAAATAATGTGTTAGGAATAAATTTGTGATTATAGTACATATAAATGAACTAAATTGGCTAAAGGATAGATTGCTAGAATGGATTTTTTTAAAAAAATCCAAATGTATGTTATTTTGATTTTTTAAAATATTTATTCATTTTTGAGAGACAGAGAGAGAATGAGCGTGAGCAGGGGAGAGGCAGAGAGAGAGGGAGACATAGAATCCAAGGCAGGCTTCAGGCTCTGAGCAGTCAGCACAGAGCCCATCGTGAGGCTTGAACTCACAAACTGTAAGATCATGACCTAAACCGAAGTCGGGTTCTCAACTGACTGAGCCACCCAGGTGCCCCCAAATGAATGTTATTTTAAAAGAGACATACTCTCCCTCTAAAAGAAAAATGCCGCAAACATAAGGGTACATTAAAATTCAAAGTGAAAGAAAGGAAAAGGTTATACCAAGGCAATACTTTAAAAAGAAAAGCTGTTGGGATGCCTGGGTGGCTCAGTCGGTTAAGTGTCTGACTTTGCCTCAAGTCATGATCTCGCGGTTCATGAGTTCGAGCCCCATGTCAGGCTCTGTGCTGACAGCCCCACTCACACTGTCTCTCTCTCAAAAATAAATAAACATTAAAAAAATGTTTTTAAAAGAAAAAACTGATATCTTTTTGACAACATATACTTTAAGTCAAACTTCGTTGTTAAGAATTAATGAATTAAGGGGCGCCTGGGTGGCTTAGTCGGTTAAACGTCCGACTTTCGCTTAGGTCATGATCTCGCGGTTCGTGGGTTCGAGCCTCGCGTCAGGCTCTGTGCTGACTGCCAGCTCAGAGCCTGGAGCCTGTTTCAGTCTGTGACTCCCTCTCTCTCTGACCTTCCCCTGCTCACGCTGTCTCTCTCTCTCCTAGAAATAAATAAAACATTTAAAAAAAAAAAGAATTAATGAATTACATGATGAGAAGAGGACAAGGAAGATATAATAATTTGAAACGTGCATGTACCTAACAGTGTTCTCTAGCACATATAGGTATCTAACAGCAAAGATAAGTGAATAGATACAAGCAGCTACATTGCAAAATTCTATAGTAAAACTTACAGAATCGCAAAGAGAAATCAATAAATGTACCATTTTAGCAAAGTATTTTAACATAAGCATTTGAATAATCGAGACAGCAAGAAGATCAAAATGTGCTAAGGATAGAAACGATTTGATCCTAACGGTTATCAGGCTTTTCATATTGAACATATAGAGAACCCTGTACCCAACAATTGATTTGATAAAAATTCTCTAAATTTTATTGGAAATTTTATTAAAATTGATCACCTACTAGCAAGCCTCATTAATGTCAAAAATCACTATAAGACAAATTAGGTGACAAAAAATCATAATAGAAAAAATATTTTAATTTAAGATTATAGTGATAACACATGCAAACAGTACTTGTGGAGTGCAGCTAACATGGTACCCAGGGGCAAATGTAGAGCCTTAAGTTATGTATTAGGATAAAAGTCTGAAAAGTAATAAGTTAGATGGCCAACTTTATATATCTGGAAAAGAATAAAAGCATAAACTCAAAAGAAAAAAGAGGAACATATTATAATTTTACACAAATTCTTCCAGAGAGAAAGAATATACCCTGGCTTAGTTTAGAAAGCCAAGATATCCAGACAAGTACATTATGAGGAAAAAGCAAATGTATTGGCCATTTTCATTTATGAATATGAATTAAAAAAAATACTAGGGAACCAAATCCATCAATTAAAAAAATATATAAAAACACTATTTAACCAAAATTGGATTCATTTTTTTATTACAAGCAGGTTCAATTACCAGAAAGAAGACAGTTTCAAACCTAGAAATTAAATGCAGTTCCAATGAAAATCTCAAAAGTGTTTTTTTATAGAATTTGACAAGCTGATTCTAAAGTTTTATAAAAGAGTGAAGAGCCAAGAATAATTTCAAAAAACAATTTTGAAAGAGAACAAGGAGGGGGACTTCCCTATTAGATGTTAAGACTCACCGTAAAGTCTATTTCTATGTCATAGAGTAACAGTAATTAAGACAATGCACTTTAAGCACTTTGGAGAGTAACTTGGCAAGTCTAGTCACATTGCCAAAGTACGTATTTTATGACTCATCAATCCACTTTTAGCAGTTTCTTCAAAATTCTGAGGAAGTAGAAAAAGTAGAATGAATACATTTTCTAAAAATAATCTTTCAAAATTTGCCACCCATACATTCTTGCTTTAGCAAAAGAAGGGAAGGAAACGAAAGAAGAAGTAGAATTCCTGGAAATGGGTTCAACACAGGAGAATCTAAGGTAATTCCTAAATGGTGCCCCACATGACTTCTGTGGCATCACACCTAAAAGAAGGCCTAAAAGCAGCCGATTTGAGCAGATGCGTGGCAGGGTCCAAGAAGAAAAGCAGAGCTGGTAAATTGTCTGATTCATTTGACCACATGGATGTTTACATGGTGAGGCATTTTGTAGAGGTATTAAAGACTGTGAGAAGATTTAACCACAGAGAAAGGTCTGTATTTCATCCTCAGCTGGATTCAGAGCATTCCCTTATCTGGTACAGAGTCGGCCTTCAGAAATATTTGTTAAGTAAGTGATGCATGTCCTCGAAGATAGCAGAAATGAAATAGATTAAAAACGGCAATGGAGAACCAGCTGGAACAATAAAGAGCACTATGGAAAATAAAAGCCTGAAGTAGGTGACAGGAAACAAGGAATACTTGAAAACAAATTGATACGACGTCTGGGAACAATTCTGTTGCATTCAATGGTGGGAGATGTATAACATAAGTGAGAATCAAATGAGGTATAGTTGTGGATGACTTTGAGTTCAGATGTTTGTAAATTAAGGCTGTTGCCAGCAACAGACATTTTAGATTACCTGCCAGCTATTTGGTTCTAAACTGATGCCGGGTGTTAGAATCCAGTGAGATGGTGGGTTTATTTGACTAATATTTAACAAGTTCCTCCCGTGTACTCAAAATGATGCCAGAAGCTGGGATTTTAATAGTCAGCACCATCAGGTACTGTGCTTGCCCTCCTTCTATTCAGAATCTTTAGAATATGGGTATATCCAGCCTGAAAACTTTTTTTTAATGTTTATTTATTTTTGAGAGAGACAGAGTACAAGTGGGGGAGGGAGAATCTGAAGCAGGATCCAGGCTCTGAGCCATCAGCACAGAGCCCCACGCAGAACTTGAACCCATGAACCATGATATCATGACCTGAGCTGAAGCCAGATGCTTAACCAACTGAGCCAGCCAGGTACCCCCCAGCCTGATATTTTTTAAGCCTAGATTTACTCTTCTGAAACATAAGATTCAGAAATTTATGCTAGAGAAAGAGGAACCCTTTTGCACTGCTGGTGAAAATGCAAACTGGTGCAGCCACTCTGGAAAGCAGTATGAAGGTTCCTCAAAAAATTAAAAATAGAACTACTCCATGCCCCAGGAATTGCACTACTAGCTATTTATCCCAAGGATGCAGGAGTGCTAATTCAAAAGGTGCAATGCATCCTGATGTTTATAGCAGCGCTATCGACAATAGCCAACATATGGAAAGAGCCCAAATGCCCATCGACTGATGAATGGGTAAAAAAGATGTGGTTTATATATATTATGGAATATTATTGGTGATTAAAAAGAATGGGAAATCTTGCCATTTGCAACACATGGATGGAATTAGAGTATATTATGCTAAGTGAAATAAATCAGAAAGACAAATGTCAAATGACTTCACTCATATGTGGAATTTAAGTTACAAAACAGATGAACATAAAGGAAGGGAAGCAAAACTAAGATAAAAACAGGGAAGGAGACAAACCATAAGAGACTCCTAAACACAGAGAACAAACTGAGGGGTGCTGGAGGGATTTGGGGTAAGGGGATGGGCTAAATGGGCAAGGGGCATTAAGGGGGACACTTGTTGAGATGAGCACTGGGTGTTACATGTAAGTGATGAATCACTAAATTCTATTCCTGAAATCATTATCACACTATTTGTTAACTACCTTGGGGGTAAATTACATAATAATAATAAAATACTAAAATAAATAATATTAAATACGTACTAAATAAATAATACTAAAATAAATAAACAGTAAAACAAACAAATTAATAAAATGCTGGGCAGGAGGTGGGTGCAGAGATGGGTTAAATGGATGATGACCATTAGGGAGGACACTTGTTGGGATGAGTACTTGGTGTTGTATGTAAGTGATAAATCATTGAGTTCTACTTCTGAAATCAATACTATGCTATATGTTAACTAACTTGAATTTAAATAAATAATTGTTGTAAAAAATTTTAAGAACTAAAATAAGTAAAATTTATGCTAACTCTAAAAATTGAAATTCATTGCTTTTCATTTCACTGGGGGTTCCTATCTATAAGCTTTATTGGATAGGATTTTTGTTATTAGAAACATATACTATCTTGATAATTAAATTTTGCTAATCATTCTTCTTGACTGGTGATCTCTACCTGTCGATGAACTTTGCACACGTGACTTGACAAACACAAAACACACTTCATTCTAAGTCCTTTTAAGTGTTATCAGGCATTGTTCATTCTTACCTTTTCTTGGTGTCCTTTTGCAGGGATTGTATTTGCACATTATGGTCCAGTCTGGAGACAACAGAGGAAGTTCTCTCATTCAACTCTTCGTCATTTTGGCTTGGGAAAACTTAGCTTGGAACCCAAGATTATTGAAGAGTTTAAATATGTGAAAGAGGAAATGCAGAAGCATGGAGAAGACCCCTTCAGCCCCTTCCCCATTCTCAACAACGCTGTCTCCAACATCATTTGCTCCCTGTGCTTTGGCCAGCGTTTTGATTACACCAATAGTGAATTTAAGAAAATGCTCAATCTTATGTCACGAGCGTTAGAAATCTGTCTGAACACCCAGCTCCTCCTGGTCAATATATGCTCCTGGCTGTATTATCTTCCCTTTGGACCATTTAAAGAATTAAGACAGATTGAAAAGGATATTACCACTTTCCTTAAAAAAATCATCAAAGACCATCAAGAGTCTCTGGATGTGGAGAATCCTCAGGATTTCATAGACATGTACCTTCTCCACGTGGACGAGGAGAGAAAAAATAATAGCAATAGTAGCTTTAACGAAGATTATTTATTTTATATCATTGGGGATCTCTTCATTGCTGGAACTGATACCACAACTAACTCCTTGCTTTGGTGCCTTCTGTATATGTCACTGAACCCCAACATACAAGGTAATTAACAGATGTCTCCTTTATTCAGGTAAAGCCAGGCTATTTAAAATTTTTTTAATGTTTATTTTTGAGAGAGAGAGAGTGAGCAGGGAACGGGCAGAGAGAGAGGGAAAACAGAATCTGAAGCAGGCTCCAGGCTCTGAGCTGTCAGCACAGAGCCCAGCATGGGGTTTCAACTCATGAACTGAGAGATCATGAGCTGAGCCAAAGTCAGACGCTTAACCAACTGAGCCACCCAGGTGCCCCAAAGCCAGACTATTTAAGTCAGTATCAGCAACTTTGGTGATCCTGTGGCTCCTAGCACCAAACCATGTTTTCAGGCTGGAAAACAAAATAGAAATCCTTGAATCTCATAGGGAGTTGGTAAGGTATTAATAGTGAAACTCCTAGTGAGACCAATGTCATACTCGCTTGCCCCTGCTTTAAATCTCTACAGGTCTGATTCTCTGTGAAATATATATAAAGGAAGAATCTTAGAGAAGAAGGAAAAGTTAGAGCTGAAGGGAATCATGATTATCTGAACGCAGTCATCTTGTTTTGAAACTGGAGAACAGAGACCCAAAGAAGTTCTGCAACTTTCATAAGATCACAGAGCTAGCTCCACCACGTCAATACCAGTAGGTAGAGAGTGTCTGGTGGTTCATAGTAGAAGAATACAAAAGAGGACAATTATATAACAGATAACCACAAACTTAGTGACTTAAATCAACACAAATGTGTTATCTTAAACTTCTGGGTCTCACTGGCCTAAAATGAAGATATTGGCAAGTGTGCATTCCTTTCTTGAGGCTCTAAAAGAGAATCCATTTCCAGCTGCCTTGGCTCCTGGCCCCACTTGTCCATCTTCAAATCCAGCGATGTTGTAGCACTGTGACCATTTTCTTTTAGTCACATCTTCCTCTGACTCTAAATGCAACCGGGGAAAGTTCTCCAATTTGAAAACCCAAGTAATTAGTGCACACCTAGAAAATCCAGGGTAATCCCCCCCTCCCAAGGCCTTTAATCTGATCACAGCTGTGAGGTCTTTTTGCCACATAAAGTAGAATATTCATAGATTCCGGGGGTTAGGGTGTGGACATCTTTGAGGGGCCATTTTCTGTCTACAGTAAATGAGATTATGCTGACTGCATTAGTTCACGTTTGAATAACAAATTGTCCCAACATTTAGCAGCTTAAAACAACCACCATTTGCAATCTCACATAGTTTCTGAGGATCAAGAATCCAGGAACAGCTTAGCGCAGCTGGTCTGGCTTAGGATTCCTCATGAAGTTGTAGTCAAGATGTTGGCTGGAGCTGCAGTCATCTGCAGGAATGACTGAGACTGAAGGATCCACTTCCAAGATGGCCCGTCCACTTGACTATTGGCTGCAGGCCTCCCCGCTTGGACTTCTCCTCAAGGCTGCTTGGGGAGGCAGCGGCCATCCCCCCGAATGAGAGCAAGTACCAAGACAGGAACCACAGTGTCTTTTATAATCTAAGCTCAGGACTGACATGGGGTCTCTTCTCCTTTATTCTGTTGGTCACACAGATCAACTTGTTACAGAGTGGAAGGGGACTGTACAAGGATGTGAACACCAAGAGGCAGGGATCATTGGGGGCCATGTTGGGCTACTTCATGTTGTCGCATACAAGCTTACAGATCAAATTAATGTTCATATGAAGAATCATTGAGAGTACTCCTGAATCTAGAATGCTTTCTCCTTTACCCTTCTTTCTGTTCTGCTATCCTTCAGAATCACAGGGTGGTACAGAGTCCCTGGGACTCACTGCCTCTTCTTGGAATATATAACCAATGCTTTACTGCTCTGAGGCTGAATCAGGTCTGAGCTGCCAACTTACCAGTTGTGTGGACGACTCGATGGGGAGTATACACAGGAGGGCAGTCTCAACTCTTCTGGCTTATCTTCTGGTTTATCCTTTGTTATTCTTTCCTTTTTAATTTTTTTTCATAGAAAAGGTTCATGAAGAAATCGAAAGGGTCATTGGTGCCAACAGAGTCCCTTCCCTCACTGACAAGGCCCAGATGCCCTACACAGAAGCCACCATCATGGAGGTGCAGCGGCTGACTGTGGTGGTGCCACTTGCCATTCCTCATATGACCTCAGAGAAAACAGGCAAGTCCAGTGTCTTTCTCCTCTGAATGCCCTTGAGGGAGGCCCAGCCTTCTAATCCAAAGGAGTTGAGGTGAGGGCCTGATGATCATTGCCCAGCTTGACCCTTCTGATGGTGTAATGTTGTATTGTGGATAATGAAATATCCAGTGAATGCTTCAGCCCTCAGTTGTCCATTATTACATCCTGGCATTCCAGCACAGCTTATGTTATAAATAGCTCTCTAGACTTCAGAGCATGCACACTTACACTGTCAAACAAATTACACTGCCATGTAAGATGGCTGTATTGGCAGAAAAAACTCCAGAATTAACAAAGGCACCTCTCAGTCTTCTTGAGGTCAGAAGAGCTAGTCTGAAAATGAAATTAAGCATTTTAACTGGGAACCATCCCACTTTACCTCTTAGAGTTCTACAACTGAAGCATAAATGTTAAAGAATTAGAAGAGCCCATCCGATTCTAAGGCACCTGGGTCAACTTCACACCAACACTGAAATGTCTCCATTTGTGGTCATGTCTTTGACGTGCAAGCCCTCAGACTCTATGTGAAATTCCTCCGAACAAGGAACTTACCTCCTCTGGAGACAGCCCATGATGTAATGAGCTTAACTATGGTTATAAGACAGTTGTGGGATGCAAGAACTTATAAATGATATTGGATCACTTCATGGGGTTTTTGGGTGCTAATTAGATACACTGTGCAATATCTTATGGGCATTGTTTAAATTGCACATGAACTTGTCAGTGGTAAGAGCTGACAAGTGTTGACTTCTCTGTACAGTTGACCCTTGGACAACATGGGTTTGAACTACAGTAGGTCCACTTATACAAGAACTTTTCTCAGTAAATGTATTGGAGGGGCGCCTGGGTGGCTCAGTTGGTTAAGTGTCTGACTTCGGCTCAAGTCCTGACCTCACGGTTCGTGGGTTCAAGCCCCATGTTGGGCTCTGTGCTGAATGCTTGCTCAGAGCCTGGAGCCTGCTTCGGATTCTGTGTCTCCTTCTCTCTCTGCCCCTCCCCTGCTCGTGCTCTCATAAATGTAATAAATTTTTAAAAAAATAGTGTATTGGAAATAGTTTTAAAGTTTTGAGACAGTTTGAAAAAATTCATGAATGAACTGCATAGCCTAGAAATATGGAAGGAAATAAGAAAAAGTTAGTTATATCATGAATGCATGAAAAACATATGTAGATTCTAACTTATTTTATCATTTACTGCCATAAAATACAGTTGACCATTGAACAATACAGGTTTGAACTGCATGGGTCCTCTTATAGGCAGATTTTTTACAGTGCAGTACTATAATTGTATTTTATGACCTTTAAAAATAAGGTTTTATTTTCTAATTTTTTTTTATTTTAAGGACTTTTATTTTTAAGTAATATCTCTACCCAACGTGGGATTCAAACTCCAACTCCTAGATCAAGAGTCATATGTTCTATTGACCGAGCCAGACAGGCACTTCTCTCTTACGATCTTTTAGTAACATTTTCTTTTTTCTAGCTTATTTTATTTATTATAAAAATGCAGTAAATAATACAAAAATATTTGTTAATCAACTATGTTATTGGTAAGGCTTCCAGTCAACAGTAGGGTATTAGGAGTTAAGTTTTGGGGAATCAAAAGTCATATGCAGATCTTTACCTACGCAGGGGCTCAGTACCCCTAACCCCCACATGATTCAACGGTCAACTATATTAGGAATTTGTAATTCTCTGAAAAGTTTACCCGGAATGTCCTATGATTTGTGTTTCAGTGTTTTCTCTTAATTGTAACGTTTTAATTGCTTGATTTATTTCATGAACTCAACATCTATTAAAGCGATTCCTGTGCCTTGCCTCGGGCTGTGTGCTGAGATGGTGTTAATAGGGTATTGCCAGTACCTTCAAGTACCTCAGTGATTAGTCTGCACAAATTAAGTAGCTAGATATGTAGCCAGATTTTTTTTCCAGATAGTGATGTTTACAGAGAACTATTAGTAAGAACATGTTGAATGACACTGTTCTTTGTTTGTCTGTTTGTTTTAGTGCTCCAAGGATATACCATTCCTAAAGGCACAGTGGTATTACCCAACTTGTGGTCAGTACACAGAGACCCAGCCATTTGGGAGAAACCAGATGAATTCTACCCTAATCGATTTCTGGATGATCAGGGACACCTTATTAAAAAAGAAACATTTATTCCTTTTGGGATAGGTCAGTTAAACTTTTATTTTCTAATTGGCATAATTAAAGAGGTAGGACTAAAAGAATCTTTTATTATTTCATGACACTTTTAAAAACATTTATTTCTTGGCAAGCAAACATAAGAGAAGAGATAAATGATCTAGAGTAAATGCAGCTCCCCTGTGTTTATTTCAGATTTTAAAAACAAGGTGAAAGCAGTTGGTTTTAAATCCTGAGACAGGACTGGACATTTTCCTTTCTGAGCCACCCAGTGGATTGTTTGAGGCCCAGGAAATTGTTGGAATTAAGAGCAACTTGTGACCTTCTGCTGTCTGGTGGCTGAGAGGCTGGGTTCTCTAATCTCACCAGTCCCTCTTTTAGAAGCCTGGATGAGTGCATGTAGGGCTCTTTCTATAGAAAGGAATGCTCCATTCTTATTGACTCATTCTCTCTTCAATCTTCCAGTCAAGAGCAAAGGAAAGCCAGAGGAAGGTACAAGGTCACCTAGATCTGCCTCTAGTTCCTGCCTAGAATGAGGATAAGTTTTCATGAGCAGGAGTTAAAATGTGAACTTAGTGTGTAAAAATTCTCACCAGGATGTACTTTGGGAGGCCATGAGGTGTATGTGGCCATTTTATTTTAAAACTCTCTACATCTGCATTTAAAACACTGAATTGAGATATTTCATATACTATTGCCAATTGCCCTTCTTGAGATAGGAAAAGGGGTGGTATTTATAACCCCAACTTTCTTTTCTGATCTCATTTTTAGGGAAGCGGGTGTGTATGGGAGAACAACTGGCAAAGATGGAATTATTTCTGATGTTTGTGAGCCTAATGCAGAGTTTCACATTTGCTTTACCGAAGGATTCCAAGAAGCCCATCCTGACTGGAAGATATGGTCTAACGTTAGCCCCACATCCATTTAATATAATCATTTCAAAGCGATAAAGAACATGCCCAAGAAGAGGATGTAAATCCATTTCCTTCTAAGCAGATGCTTCCTCTGCAGTTGACAGCAGACCCAGCAATGCAGTGGGTCCAGGTCAGGCTCAGATGAGAGTGAGCCTGGAAGGAGGGTAGAGCTTGATTCTTCAATAGCCTACGTTCGTCATTTTATAATGTGCATCTGTGACTCACAGGTCGGGGGCCAAAGGGCTGGATCTGGAAGAAGGGATCTGCAGTTGATTCCCAGTGGCTCCCACCAATGAACGTTTCTTCTCAGCTCTCAGTGCCTCAGTCATTCCATGTGTAAAATGAGGTTAAGAAAATTCCGATCCCATGAACCTCAAGATCATGACTTGAGCCAAAAGCAAGAGTCAGATGCTTAACTGACTGAGCTGTGCAGTCACCCCATATCTCTACCTTCTTTTTCAACTATAGGAACCATGAGCCTGGCTGAAGAGGTGGCTTCAAGGCAGAGCTCCTTTCTGCTGAGCTACTTGCAGAGAGGTAGCCTCTGCCTTTTGACTTGAGCCCTGAAGAGTAAGCTTGGGCATTTTGATACTGGGATTCATCAGGGAAAGATTCAACCTGTGCTGAACATCCCTTTTCTGTTCTCTCTTCCACTGGGCTTAATATGTCTCCTCTTTCAGTACTCTCAAAGACAGAGAGACAATTTTTTTAAATGTTTGTCTATCTATTTTTTGAGAGAGAGAGTGCATGTGCACATGCTTACTAGCAGGGGAGGGGTAGAGAGAGAACGAGAGACAGAGAATCCCAAGCAGGCTCGGTGCTGACAGCACAGAGCCCAGTGTGGGGCTTGATCTCACAAACCATAAGATCATGACCTGAGCCAAAATCAAGAGTCAGTCGCTTAACCAACTGAGCCATCCAGGTGCCACAAGAACCACATTGCTTCTTAATAAAGACAGTCCCACTAGAAGAGCAGTGCTCAAAAAAGGTAATGACTCCTTTCAGGGGGTGTTTGGAAATGTGTAAGTGCATCTTTGGGTGTCACAATGATGAGGGTGTTATTGGCCTTGCCATGTGGCCAGGATGCTGAATGTCCGGGCAGACGTGTACAGTGAGGCATAATCCTGCCTAGTATGCCAGTTATTTCCCCCAGTGAGGATATGCTCCATAGAATGACCAGCCCTTTCCTCGATTCTTCCATAGTACTCCTTATATAGAAGCAATCATGATAATATGAGCATCCACTGTTTTGAGCCTTCCCTCATGCTGGCCCCATACTTAACGCTTTACTGGTATACTTACAGAATTCCTACAGAAACTGTTAAGAAGACGTTATTTTGTAGCTGATAGAGTTGAAAGTTAGAGAAGTTAAGGTACATAGTAAGTAAGTAACATTGTTCATTTAATCTTACCAGTCCTTGGGACCAGAGAGTTCTTTCTGAATCACTTCTCTGTACTGCTGCAGCTTGATCCCATGGGAGTCCACTCTGAGTTTTCAGTATAGATGGATGAAATGCAGGCAAATCTCTAGATGCCTTGAGGATTTTTTTATCAAGTAAAAAAGAAAAACTAATAAACGAAATGCCCAGGAATTGTGGGCAAATGAGCAGTTGATGAGATGATGCATGTGTGGTTAACGCTGCACTTGAGCAGGACGGTTTGTCCCTGATCTGGAATTTTATATGCTTTTGAATTGCACTAATAATTTCACATTAGCAACTTTTTACTCCTTAGTTGATAAATACTTTTTCAACATTCCTAACCAGTTTGTAGCTTACTTGAAAAAAAAAAAAAAAAAACCTCTGAGATTATGTTTGAAACAGCTGCTCATCAGACTTTTAAATATAATGCCTCAGACTGTAGCACTTTAAAAACCTCTTTATACGGTAAGTCACTGAAAGGACTGCTAATGCTTTCCTTGTATATATTGACACTTTGCAATTTTGTATTTTATGACTTATTTGAAGTGTAAAAATAATAGTACTTTGTTTTATATATCTTCTTAATATCTAATTTTTGTCCTCTTCTTTAGCATAATTTTTAGCGCTTTTATTAAACTTCTTAATGGAAACAGTATCGTGTCTGGGGTCTTTTTGCTTCTCATTTTAACTGCTAAACAAAAAAAAATTTTTTTTTAATTTTTTAATGTTTATTTATTTTGAGAGCGAGAGTAAGCCAGGGAGGGGGAGAGAGAGAAAAAGAGGGAGAGAGACAGAGAATCTGAAGCAGGCTCCAGGCTCTGAGCTACCAGCACAGAACCTGACTCGGGACTCTTAGAAGCTGTGAGGTCATGACCTGAGCCGAAGTTAAATGCTTAACGGACTGAGCCACCCAGGCGCCCCTAAACAAAAAAATTTTTAAACTAGATGTCAGGTCAGGGAATGGAAGAGGCAGCAGGCCTCCAAAGAGAGAGGGATGGCCACACTCTAACAGAAGCACGCGGGAGACCACAGGAGAATTCTCCGAGCACAGTGACTCTCAGGACGGTATCACAGCTCACGTCTCTGATTTCTCCCACCCAAATCCAGCATTATTTGTGGGAGGATGGATCTACACAAGCCCCTGTGACAAAGTGTTGAATGCTTGTCTCTCTTCCACTTGTCAGCTCTGGAGGAAGAGTTTCTTCTAATACCTCAACCTGTGGATTTTGCCTACAGATGAGACCCCTGCCCTCTTCCTCCATGGGCCACTCTTCCTCCTGCTGTCACAGCTTGGAGGGACCTAAAGTGGCCTTTTTGGAGAACTCCCTGCTATGGACTAAATGTTTGTGTGCCCCCTATCATATATCATCACCAATGCGATGGTGTATGGAGTGGGACCTTTAGGAGGTGATTGGGTCACGATGGCGGAGCCCTCGTGAATGGGATTGGTGTCCTTATGAAACAGGGTCCAGAGAGCTCCCTTGCCCCGCCACTGTGTGACAGTGCAACGTGAAGACAGCTATCCGGGAGCCAGGAAGTCGGCTCTCAACAGACTCTGCATCTTCCAACCTCCAGAAATGTAAGAAATATATTTCTGTTGTTTATAGGACAGCCAGTCTGGTATTTTTATTATAGCAGCCCACATGGCCACTCCCTAATCTCATCACCCAGGTCATTCTCTCCACAGCCCTCTTTTTTATCTGTGGTTACTCTGTTTATTTAAACCCTCAGCTTCTACAATCTGTCCCATTTCCTGCCAGTTTTAAAACTCAAATGCACAAGTTTTTAATTTGGATGAAGTCCAATTTATCTATTTTTATTTTCATTGCCTGTGCCTTGATGTCCCATCAGGAAATCATTGCCAAATCCAATGTCATGATGCCTTTCCCCATCTTCTTCTAAGAATGTTATTGTTTCATCTTTTGTGCTTAGGTCTTTGATCCGTTTTGAGTTAATTTTTGTACGTGGTGTAAGGTAAGATCTAACTTCATTCTTTTGCACATGGCTACAATTTCCCCAGTGCCATTTGTTGAAAAGACCGTCTTTTCCCCATTGAATGGTTTTGGTGCCCTTGTCGAAAATCATTTGACCATATACATGAGGATTTATTTCTTGGTCAATACTATCTTTAAAAATAATGAGAGGCACCTGGGTGGCTCAGTTAGTTACTCATCTACTCTTGATTTTGAGTAAGACCATGATTTCATGGTCTTGAGCCCCAGTCCTGCAGCCAGCTCCCTGCTGGGCATGAAACCCGCTGGAGATTTTCTCTCTCCCTCTCCTTCTGCCACTCCCCCACATGTGTGCGCATACACAATGTCAGAAAAAAAAATAAAGCTTTGGGACACCTGGGTGGCTCAATCAGTTAAACGTCCAACTTCAGCTCAGGTAATGATTTTACGGTTTGTGAGTTCGAGCCCCAAGTCAGGCTCTGTGCTGACAGCTTGAAGCATGGAGCCTGCTTTGGATTCTGTGTCTCCTTCTCTCTCTGCCCCTCCCCCACTCACATTCTGTCTGTCTCTCAAAAAATGAATAAATGTTAAAAAATTTCAGAAAAATATAAATAAAATAATGAATTGCTGAACAGTTTTGTACTGATACCAGAATATTCAGATGAATCAATAAAACAAAATAGAAATAATAAACCCATAACTTCTAGCATAAAAGTATACCATTAAGGAACAGGAAATAATATAAAAAAGAAAAGTGCTAGGCCAATGGTTAATTATTTAGAAAATCAAAATAACACATTTTCCCTCTTTTCATATGCCCAAATCCCAAGACTTAGGTCTAAAAAATAGAAATAATATTGTATGTATCTGTGAAACTTTCAATATGGGAATGGGAGCTAATTTTCTAAGTGTAAAAAAGTAACAGATTCAATCACAAAAATAAAGCACAATAGATTTGGTGACATAAAAATAGAAAATTTCTGTGTTCCAAAATCATGAAAAATAATTCCACCAGCCTTGACAAAAATTTAATATTCTTAATAATAGAGTGCTTATGATTCAGTGAGTAGAATGCTCAGTTTTAAAGATAGGCTCAGTGGGTAGAGCATGCGACCCTTGATCTCAGGGTTGAGCATTCAGCCCCACACTGGGGATGGAGCCTACTGACAAAAAATAAGTAAAATGAAAATAGGTAAAAGATATACAAAATTTTGAAAATACAAATGGCCAATATGTTAAAGAATGTTAAAATTCATCGCAAATGCAACTAAAACAGATACCAATTTTTTACCCATCAAATGTTAAAGATATTTTTAAAAAGGAAAACACCAAATATTGATAAGGGAGAAGCATTCACACACTGCTGTTGGCCGTATAGACTGGAGCTACATTTCTGGAGGAAAATTTAAGGATATGCATGAAGATTTTTAATGTATTTGTTCTTTATGCAGAGTGGGTATCCTTCACTGGGTTTTGGAACAGAGCACTATATTAACAGACAAAGCTGCGAATCCCAATGAAGTCCAGGATTTAGTTAATAACACTGCCTTCAGTGTCTTCATTTTTGACAAGCGTGCCATGGTTATATAAAATATCAAAATTAGGGGAAACTGGGTGAAGGGATTACATGAGCTCTCTGAACCCTCTGTGCAACTCTTCTGTAGATAAAACTCATTCCTCCCGGAAGTTTTTTAAAGTAAGTATTTATCCCATTTGGCTCAATAAATTCTACTTCTAAGATATATCTATAGCTAATAATGGAGAGATAAAAATAGTCTGGGATAAGTTATTCATTATTCATTGCAGTGGTATATTTGATAACAAAAGAAAAAAGGAAAGTAAAGCAAAGCATTCCAAATGCTCAACACTATGGGCAATGTAATAGCCACATTCATGCATGCATAATTATGAGAAATGTTCTAGATATTGGGGCATAGAAGCAACCAAAACAAAGATCTCTGATATTAAAGAGCTTAATTTCCAAAAGAGAAAAAAACAACTGTGAATAAGAGAAAATGTGTAGCGTATTAGTCATAAATGTTAAAGACAAAAATAAAATCAGGAGGGGGATGCAAAATGCCAGGGAGAGGTTTCACTTTTGGGTAAAGAGATCAGATTCGCTGGGAAGCTGATATTTGAGTGAGGACCCAGGGGAAGCAAAGAGCGAACCTAGGGGCATGTAGGCAGAAGGAACCGCATATCTCCAGGCCTTACTGCAGGGAGGTGTCCGAAATGTTCGCTGACCAGGATATCTCAAGTAGAGTGAACAAAGAAGCATGGCAATAGGAGAGGAAATGATAAAGCTGGAGGGAGAGCAGATGATAGAGATAGTGGCTCAATCTGAGTGAGATGGGAACCATGGAGGGTTTT